TTCATTGATAGAGACTTGTGCATTATGCAATTGTAAACACTAAGAGGGTCAAATGTAGCATCTCAAAACAAGACACTGAGACCACAAAAGAGTTTTCAAGGTCAGACTTCCCTATGCAGCCAGCGGCATTACCCCCTGCTCGCCATTAGAAAGAATGCATGTTCCATTTGTGGTCACCTCAATTGCATTGCTTTACAGTTTCATTCATCTGACGCTAACGTCTTTATTTCAACTGACAGTCTGCGCTCCCAGGTTGGGACATGGCCGCTCGTCTTTTACTGCGTGCACACTCCCTTAGTCTGCAAACGTATATTTATTAAAAACAAAAAAGACGCTGACTTGAACTCCGAAGTGAACTTTAAGCATCTTGTCAAGCAGCCGCTAACTCAACACAGATCTTACAGACCGCGCTGACAGATCTATTTCAAGCCCAGAGCTCGGCTTAGCTGCGATGGAGAACCTCCCACTGTGAGCCGACTACATACTGTTCAGAACAAGAGCGAGCTAATAGAATATTTGAAGCTTTGAAGGGTTTAAATGACACGACTGATTTAAAAGTTCTCCGTGCATCGATGGTAAATGTCTTTCTGGTCAAATCGGGTCCCTGTAAGCATGGTAAACAGGAGTGTGTGCGGCAGAGGAACACACACACACACATCTTAGCTTCCTGCCCATTAGTTATCAGAATAAAAGGTTGGAGCAGGTGTTTTTGTGTGTGTTTTATGGATATTGAATATAGAGGAGAAAGCACTTGTACACACACACACAGATAGAAGAGTGTGTGCTCCAATGCTAAATGTCACACCTGTCATTGGCAATGTGGATGAAAAAGCTCAATTATCCCTCCTCACAAACACACAGACCACCAGCTCTCCTCTTTCTTTTATCTTTCTATCCCTCCTCCTTCTTTCCCATCACTCTCTTTTTCTCCATCTCATCCTTCGTCCCTCCCAAATTTCACCATTCTTCCTCGTCGCCTCTTCATGATGTGTGTAGGTAATTAAAACGTCCTCTCCACCAGCCTTGTGATAAATGAACTGAGCTGTCAGGGAAACGCCTCCCACTACATCACAGATTTGTCCTTTTTTTTCTTTTTTGGGATTTGATTTTGCCATCACGGTTCAGGGAATCTGCTTCATTAGTGTTCACGGCTGCTCTGTGTGCACAAACGGGTGCGTGGCGGCAAATGCAAGTGTACAAAACACACATCAAGGCATTTCCACACTTCACAAGGCTGGAGAAAGAAGTTGGGCTTAAGCAGCAGAGTCAGACGTGGTGCTTTCAATTAAATTTGCTGGGGAGGGATTTCCTCGGGTCCTCTGTGAGGGAAAGAAAACATTTACATTTTAATAAATCGTGTTATAATAAAGGCAGAAACTTCCACGAGACTTTCTGCCAGCTACGAAAGGGTCAGATGCTGTTTGTCTGTTTTAGAATAAAGGCCTCATAAATATTAAAAATTACTACACCATCATTTTACCCTAAAGTATTTTTTATTAGTTGTGCTGTTGTATATTTCTGGGCAGCTGTGATTGAGACTCCCAGTCACTGTTCTTGATCTGGGTTGTTGTTCAAACGTCAATAAAACCAGATTTCATGTAACTGTGCGGTGTATGGGGCACAATACCAGATTTTCTGTCTGTCAGAACGCATCCTAAATATTTCAAGAATTCCTAACTTTGCCTATGACTTTTCTTTTTTAGTCAGGAATATTTGCACGTAGTATTTAGAATGATTATTAGAAACAGGACATAAATATGCTTTTGTGCCCCATACACTGCACAGTTAGAGGAACCTTTTTGCTTTTTTCCAAACTAAAGTTGTATAAAGTGTGTTTGAATTATTGGGAGCTCTACAGCACACTGTTAAGTTCATGTGCATTCAAAATAAACACGTTCATCTAACTTGGCCTTCTGACATTGATCCTATTTAATTTTTTTTAGCTAAATTATATATCAAATTCTATATTGAGACAGTAAGTTCATGTGTGTGTAGTCTGCAAATGGAAGACCAAATGCCAGATTTTTAAACCCTATGAAACTGACATATTTCCCATTTTAATAAGATAATCATTTTATTTGTATAGCACTTTGTACAGTTGCAATTTGGATGAAATGCAAAGATAAGTGTACTTATCCCCGAATTGTAATCTTCTTTTGTTTGCCCCCTTCGGAGGTCACCACAGCGGATTATCGGTCTCCGGTGCATCCTCCTCTTTCACTCCTGCCCTCTGCATGTCCACACATATGAGCATCGTTGGGTGTAACTCGAAAATATTATGACAACACTCGATGTCAAGGTGACTGATGATCACATATCAGAGTAGAAACGTATGACTATGCATTTCTAAAGTTTCCTTTTCTTGTGCCCTCAAACAAAGAGGATCTAAACCAGGGGTGGGCAACTCCAGGCCTCGAGTGCCGGTGTCCTGCAGGTTGTAGATCTCACCCTGGGTCAACACACCTGAATCAAATGATTAGTTCATTATCAGGCCTCTGGAGAACTTCAACACATGCTGGCGAGGTCATGTAGCCATTTAAATCAGCTGTGTTGGATCAAGGACACATCTAAAACCTGCAGGACACTGGCACTCGAGGCCTGGAGTTGCCTACCCCTGATCTAAACTGTCTGTGAAGTGTTTGGTAAAGCCAAAACGATCAGCTTCTTCGGGGTCACTTTAAAGAGTGACACATCACCTGATGGTGGGGTTAACTCCTAAAAGCCATCACGCTGACATAATAATTATAAAAATGGAGTCCTTACAGAAGAGGTGAACAGATGAGTTAAAATAATTCGAGGCTGCTCCTTCTAGCGGTCAGGTGCATCCGCGTGGAGGCGTCCTGCAGTTTCCTCTCAGTTTGCTTTTGTTAAGAAAGCTCCAACTACACGAACTCACAGAGACCATAGATGTCCTGGAATACTTTGAAGGTGACGTCTATCAGGACAGACTCTTATCATCTCTGTGTTTTAATTAAAACTTTTGTCTTATAAACTAATGAATATTTGCAGCCTGTGGGCTTCTTCCTGTAATTAATCCATAGCCGTGAAACAGGAAGCGAGCCGCTGCTGGGTGCCTCTAATCAATATTTACAGGCATGGCGTGCTAAGAAACACCAGGGGGAAGCTTGCTTTGAGGCGTGTTGAACTGAAAAAAGAAACTGCTGAAGAATGGCAATCATGAAAAACTGAACACAGACACTTAAGATCAAGTGTGAAATATTTCAAAGGCATAAAAATGTGTGACGCGTTGTGGATGTTTGAGCGAAATGGATGATTGTGCCTCACAGAATGACAAAAGTCAAATATTCAGAAATGTTTAGCATCTTTTTCATTCCTCGAAATTGTCAAGTCGACTTCAATTTCCTCCCCCCATGCGGTGGCAATTTTGTGTCACCTGCTAGCAAGTCAAAAATAGAATATGTAAGAGGAGAGCTCTGAATAGTTTCTCCCTCCTCACTCATTGCCACAGGTGTGATAAGTGAGGAGGGGCACGAGTCTCCTGCAGAGTCTCGACCCTTTCAGGTTTTGTTTTCTGAGTCATTATTAAAAACCTGTTCAGTGCAAAAAGCAAAAGGCAGTCAGAACAAAGAAATGTGCTTGGAGAGACAAGCCTCTCGGTTGGTTTAAATGTTCCAAAGAGTGCCGATGCAGGATTTGCAGAATCGTTTTGGGGGGGGAAATGTACGAATGTATAAAATCTATGTTGTTTTGTTGGAAAGGGCAGAGGCTGGTGAGTTTTTGAATGCCTGTCCAACAGCATCTTTAAAAAGCCAGCTTGGTTGGTGCAAAGCCAATATGTTGTCATGGTTACTCGTCAGTCCCATAATGATTTTATATTCAAGTGCGTATATTGTGCTCGAATAATTGGAGGGAAAAATTGCCTGCATTTAAACTGATTTAAGTGGCTACGCTAACGTTGTTTAACGGGTCTACACTTCGGTCCGGCGTCAGGTGACCTCAGTAGCGTGACCCACTTTGATCCACTTTGATCGCGGTTTAAACATTTAATAGGGAGCTTTGTTCAGAGTGACTTGCAGTAAAGTGCAAAACAAGGAAAATGTCGCTTTCTATGATTCCAGGCAGCAGAACCTCACAAGAGCAAAGCCGGAGCTGCTCTGGCTGCAGAAACAGGATGTGACTGAGCCCCTTAGCTGCGGTCGTTTTAGCGAGCAAGTTTATATCCCATAAAACCCCAATTCTGAAACATTTGGTAAGATGTAAAATGTAAATAAACAGAATGTCGTGGTTTGCAGATCTCATGAGCCGAATTTTATTAGCAGTACATGTATCTTTATTTTACTATATTCTATCCTTCAGCAAGTCTTTTGTCCCATCTTCCTTCTCTCTACCTGCCTGGTAACAGGCTTCTTCCTGTTCAAAGGGAGTTTTCCTTTCCCACTGTTGCCAAAGTGCTTGCTTATAGGGGTCATATGAGTGTTGGGTTTTCTCTGTATGTATTATTGTAGGGTCTGCTGTACAATATAAAGCACCTTGAGGCGAATGTTGTTGTGATTTGGCGCTGTATAAATAAATTGAATTGAATTGGCTCCACCCGAGCACCGCACTGCCTGCTGGGTAATACTCGTAGGATCAGAGGCGGGACAACACTTCCTGTGTTGGGGCGTTGCTTCCACAGATCGACGCAGATCAGTGGAAACGCTTGAGCTCACCTCTGAAAGACTGTGAATGCTTATGTACATGTCATAGTTTGTGTTTTCATTTCAATAAATTGTGGGTAGAACTTAGTGAATTGACTCCATTTTGGAACAACAAGCATCTGTGAATACTTTGTAGATGTGCTGTACATGCACTCGCTCTGCTTGTTTCTGAGACAAAAGCTCAGTATGAACTTCTCACAAGTAAAATCCAGTTGTGTAACTTTAGGTATAGAAATACTGAATATTAATATCAGTGTCTTCACCCTGAAGCAGGTGGAGCTTTAGTGTGAGGGCGGCTCCAGAATCCAGACAGAAACACACAAAGACCACGAGAACACCTCAGCTGTTTGCTTCTCATTTATTATCAGGATACAGCAGATAATGATTCACACCAGCTATCAGACCTCCACCAAACAGTCAGTGAGACGTTAAATCTGAGCGTGCTGAGCTGCAGACTGAGGAACATCTGGACCAACCGAGAGCTTCTGAGAAATCATCAGCTCAAACTGGTCTCCGTCCATCATTTCACTCCACCTGCAGCTGTTTGACAGCAGCTCACTCACACTCTGACTGCTCTTCTGAGATATTTACGTCATCGACTGACTCTGAAAGTTAAAGATTGTCTGGGACTACATGATAAAGGAGAGAAAAGAGAGATAAACACGAAATGTTCTGCAGATTTACTGCACAGGACGGATCTTCATGCTGATGGTCTTCAGAGAGTAATTATAACCCTTCCACTGGTACCAGTCCACACCAACAGCATAGATAGTACCATCTGCCCCCCAACGATAAACCCCGTTAGGGTTTGCATAGTGACAGGCGTTGTACCAGAACGCCCCCAGAAAGGATTTTGCACAGCTGTTGTGGTCTTTGTCAAATGTGGCGAACTTCTGTCCGTTGTGAAAACTCAGGGCATCTCCTGGAGAAACACAGATGAAACACCGTTTTCGTTTGGCTCTCGGCGAAGGCGGTCACACTTTTTCTCCTCTCCTCTCCCTTATCTTCCCTGCTTAGCTTCTTATGTCCTTGTCTTGTCTTGTGTTTTTACTTTTCCCTGAAACACTCTCTCACAGTCTGTTTCAAAAACCTAAAAGAGAATTATGGATTTGATCAACTGGTCTCTGAATGCTATTGACATCCTTTTCTCAACGAGAAGTCTGGGCTCAGGAGAGCCCGAGTGCCCTGGAGGGACTTTCCCTACCGGATACACGATGGACGGGTGGCAGACATGGAGGATTGTGTGCCTGGCGGGACTGTCGATCGAAGATGCTGAAGATATCTACCTATTCGGAACCATGATAACAGGGTTCTTGCTGATTGGAGCTGGCTTGGCCCTGACTTATTGGAGAATTAAGAAAGCGGAACCGGCTGTTCAAACACCCCCAAGGCTGCCCGCTGGGATTGGAACGATGGGACGAGGCGCGACTTCTCAGAATGGGCTCACTGAGTGCAGCACGGATAAGATCTTGGAGAAGCTTACAGCTGCTGTGAATACTCAGAATAACACCTCGTAGCAAAAGTTGGATTGCATTGTGGAACAGCTGACTGCAGTCGTGAGGTCTCAGAATCTGCTCTTTGACCATAAGAATGACAACATCACAGAGCGCAAGTTTGATAACATCATGGAGAAGCTTGCGGTTCTCCAACGGGAGATGGAGAGACCAGTGTCGGAGTGTTAAAGAACAGCTTTGAAATTCTCATGAGCTGTTCGCACTAAAGTAAAACCACCATCATAATCCGGCTACCCCCTTTTGCGCCAGCTATAGGCTCAAGGCTGGAGCCGAACAACAACACCCTGATAACAACTGTGTTTAGTCTGTTCCTTCCCATTCCATGCAAGGCCACCTGGGTTGGCTGGAAGACTGTTTACTTAGCCTGGGCGAAGGACACTGTCTCAGCTGAACTCTGGACACGCACACACACACACACACACACACACACACACACACACACACTGATATGCACACACTCATCCCCCCTCCCTTTACAAACGCCTTCGATGCTTGTTCCCTCCTGGGAACACGGCGGGTCTGAGCCCGCGCTGGAATGGTAGCGCTGGGCAGGATGGCTGCTGCGTTTGCTTCGGATTACTCTTCACCCCCCACCCGACCCTGTGGCTGGTCACGTGCTCCATAATGTTGTGCTGTGGACATTTATGTGCTTTTTTGTGCAGAGGAGTTTTTTTGTTTCCTGTTCTCATGCTGTCTTCCCAGGAGCCCAGCATGAGTAGAGGTCTCTTTTTTCCTCTTGTACTTTCCCACTGTAGTGTACATTTCAGTGGTTTTTCTGTAACTCTACCGATCTCCGACCTGTATCCCCATGTGATGTCTGTGTTGTGTGTGTAAGGTCGGGGGGCTCCCATTTCACTGCAGGGCAACCTGCACGTGGCGAATAAAGCTTTGATTGATTGATTGAATAATCACAACATCACCACTAATCCCAGTCATACTGGTCTGCATGTGTACTGTACCATATGTGGTTGACCTACTCCAGTTTATTCATGTGAACTGGGAGACTTCGTCATGCAGTAAAGTCATTTTCATTGGTATGTAGGTGATACCAGCTTTATTTATCCCTGAAGGTACATCAGATAAGCCAACTATTTAAACTGCAGGTGTGTCTATGGTCCTGACAACCTCACATCCAAAGTCTTGAAAGCTGAAGGCTCTGCCTCCCATTCTACTTTTAAATACTCTAGGAACAACAAGTAGGCCTGCAGAGCGAGAGCGAAGTGCTCTAATAGGGTGATATGGTACTACAAGGTCATTAAGATAAGATGGGGCCTGATTATTTAAGACCTTGTATGTGAGGAGCAGGATTTTGAATTCTGGATTTAACAGGAAGCCAATGAAGGGAAGCCAAAACAGGAGGAATCTGCTCTCTTTCTAGTCCCTGTCAGGACTCTTGCTGCAGCATTTTGGATTAGCTGAAGGCTTTTCAGGGAGTTTTTAGGACTTCCTGATAATAATGAATTACAGTCGTCCAGCCTGGAAGTAATAAATGCATGAACTAGTTTTTCAGCGTCACTCTGAGACAGGATATTTCTAACTTTAGAGATGTTGCACAAATGGAAGAAAGCAGTCTTACATATTTGTTTAATATGTGCATTGAAGGACATGTCCTGGTCAAAAATGACTCCAAGGTTCCTCACAGCGTTACTGGAGGCCAAGGTAATGCCATCCAGAGTAAGAATCTGGTTAGATACCATATTTCTAAGCTTTTCAGGGCCGAGTACAATAACCTCAGTTTGATCTGAATTAAAAAGCAGAAAGTTAGCGGCCATCCAGGTCTTTATGTCTTTAAGACATTCCTGCAGTTTAACTCATTGGTGTGTGTTATCTGGCTTCATGGACAGATAGAGCTGGGTGTCGTCTGCATATCATCCTGCCTGGTGTTTGGTACTCAGGGGCCACGACTGAGAACAGGGAGGCTGCACAGAGGGTCATTAACACTGCCCACAATATCATTGGCTGCCCTCTGACACTCCTGGAGGCCATCGCCAGATCCTCCTGTCTCAGAGACTCACAGGCGACCCCTCAAACCCCGCCCACCACCTGTTCCATTCTACCCATTCCTCTTCTTTGTTGATCTTTTCTGTTCATTTGTGTCATTGTACATGTACAATGACAATAAAGGCGTATTCTATTCTATTCTATTCTGATGCTACACTGACCCTGTGCCACTTCACTCACCTGCGCCTCCGTTCTTGAATCCAGTAACAGTCAGTTTGTATCCGTCACATTCAGCATCCACCTTAAATGAAGAGTAACGAGCGAACACTTTCTTCCCTTCAAAGTCCTCCATGTCCACCAGCAGCTCACTCTTTTCCTTGGATGTCATAATGTTGATCACATCGAGACCTACATTCACACACAAGCACACAGTCAGAAACATGCAGGGCTGTTTGGTACAGAGCTGCAGATCATCCAATAAAACTCTCACCGAGCCAGTACTCTCCAGCAGCGTCACCAAAGCCCATCTTGTATTGATCCCAGGGTCTGTAGAAGTTCACCGTGCCGTCCATCCTCCTCTGGAACACCTGGGGGAGGAGGCAGCAGAAACATCTCTGGTTTCAGGGAGCACAGATCTGGATTTACAGCAGTGCTCCTGTTAAATGTTCCCGCGCTGACACTTTTTAGTTACAAGCACTCACCGTCCAGCCTCCTCTTTCTGAGTCCATGTCACAGTACACCTGCACACAAACACCTGTCACACTCTAGCTGCTTAAAGACGTGGACATGAACAGGACCCAGAGTCCCAGAGAGGGTGGACTGTACCTGCACCGCAGACCTTTCTCCAAGGGGATAGATGGTGTACACGCCGCTGCTTTGGCTTCTGTCCTGGTGGCGGATGTCGCTGCAGTCCCTCGGCTGGATGAGCTCCGTGCAGCTGGTCAACGCAGGAGCGAGGAGGAGAACGATGAAGACCGCTGGCAGCTGGAACAGAGAAGAAGCCTTTCATTTGCACAATATTCACTTCCTACCAAGCTCAACAAGCCTGTGATTCTCCCTCAGCTTTGCCTCTCAGCTGTGCTGAAGTCTTGTTTAGGCTGCACAGGTGTGGTTCAGCCAAACCCCTCTCCCTGTGCTCACTTCTTAGTATACAGGGAGTGTAGAATTATTAGGCAAATGAGTATTTTGTCCACATCATCCTCTTCATGCATGTTGTCTTACTCCAAGCTGTATAGGCTCGAAAGCCTACTACCAATTAAGCATATTAGGTGATGTGCATCTCTGTAATGAGAAGGGGTGTGGTCTAATGACATCAACACCCTATATCAGGTGTGCATAATTTTTAGGCAACGTCCTTTCCTTTGGCAAAATGGCTCAAAAGAAGGACGTGACAGGCTCAGAAAAGTCACAAATAGTGAGATATCTTGCAGAGGGATGCAGCAGTCTCAAAATTGCAAAGCTTCTGAAGCGTGATCATCGAACAATCAAGCGTTTCATTCAAAATAGTCAACAGGGTCGCAAGAAGCGTGTGGAAAAACCAAGGCGCAAAATAACTGCCCATGAACTGAGAAAAGTCAAGCGTGCAGCTGCCAAGATGCCACTTGCCACCAGTTTGGCCATATTTCAGAGCTGCAACATCACTGGAGTGCCCAAAAGCACAAGGTGTGCAATACTCAGAGACATGGCCAAGGTAAGAAAGGCTGAAAGACGACCACCACTGAACAAGACACACAAGCTGAAACGTCAAGACTGGGCCAAGAAATATCTCAAGACTGGTTTTTCTAAGGTTTTATGGACTGATGAAATGAGAGTGAGTCTTGATGGGCCAGATGGATGGGCCCGTGGCTGGATTGGTAAAGGGCAGAGAGCTCCAGTCCCACTCAGACACCAGCAAGGTGGAGGTGGAGTACTGGTTTGGGCTGGTATCATCAAAGATGAGCTTGTGGGGCCTTTTCGGGTTGAGGATGGAGTCAAGCTCAACTCCCAGTCCTACTGCCAGTTTCTGGAAGACACCTTCTTCAAGCAGTGGTACAGGAAGAAGTCTGCATCCTTCAAGAAAAACAGGATTTTCATGCAGGACAATGCTCCATCACACGCGTCCAAGTACTCCACAGCGTGGCTGCAAGAAAGGGTATAAAAGAAGAAAAACTAATGACATGGCCTCCTTGTTCACCTGATCTGAACCCCATTGAGAACCTGTGGTCTATCATCAAATGTGAGATTTACAAGGAGGGAAAACAGTACTCCTCTCTGAACAGTGTCTGGGAGGCTGTGGTTGCTGCTGCACGCAATGTTGATGGTGAACAGATCAAAACACTGACAGAATCCATGGATGGCAGGCTTTTGAGTGTCCTTGCAAAGAAAGGTGGCTATATTGGTCGCTGATTTGGTTTTGTTTTTGAATGTCAGAAATGTATATTTGTGAATGTGGAGATGTTATATTGGTGTCACTGGTAAAAATAAATAATTGAAATGGGTATATATTTGTTTTTTTTGTTAAGTTGCCTAATAATTGTGCACAGTAATAGTCACCTGCACACACAGATATCCCCCTAAAATAGCTAAAACTAAAAACAAACTAAAAACTACTTCCAAAAACATTCAGCTTTGATATTAATGAGTTTTTTGGGTTCATTGAGAACATGGTTGTTGTTCAATAATAACATTATTCCTCAAAAATACAACTTGCCTAATAATTCTGCACTCCCTGTAGTCCTGTTGCCTTTCATTGTAAAGTGAGTTCATGCTTTGTTATATTGTTGTATTCCTGTTGATCTCTGACCTGCACAGAACAAGAACCATTCTGAACCATCCCCAGAAAATCCAGGCTTAAGTTACCTGGATAAGAGGAAATCCTGCTTGGTGGCACAGACCTCAGGAGCAGGCTATGTTCAGAGTTAAGATGGAGGCAATGTTCCCTCTAATGTTTCATGTGTCTGAGCGAACGCACAAACTCCCTGAGCGTCCCTTGGACCACTGTGAGCGACAGCAGACGTGTGCACTGTCGTCACGCCAGCATCCAATCCATCCAAGTTACATGTTTATTAAAGTAATCAAATTACAGCATTTATGTTAGACGACTTTTAATTAACTGCTTTAGCCCACTTACAATGAAAATGTAAACAAATCTTGTTATGTTAACACTATTAGAAGGAAAAATAACTTCAACTCCAATTTTGAAAACACAACTTTATTTATTTCTTTTCTATAAAGCTCTGACTTATATTATGAGTCTGTGGTCTGGGAGAGAGTCTGTAACTCTGTCTGCAAATACAGTAAATAATGACCAATGTTGGGCAGTTAATTATATAGTTACTTCAAAAAAATAACTGAGTTTTGCAAACAACAACATTTTTTGCAGCTGTTTACCTAAAAATGCAGCCAAGGTGTTTTTTAAACAAACACTTCAAACTATTTACAGAACAATCAGCTGTTCTGCATCAAATCTGATGCCACACAAATTATTTGTGCCGCTCCAAAAATAATTTCTGTCCACTATGAGATGAAGGAGAACAACAGCCTGATACCTGCAGGCCTGACAGCAGCAGATGTGTCACTGCTGTAACACCTGTAACACTCAGCAGTCGCCTCATTGTTCTGACACACAACAAAACTACTGACTACACTACACACTAACTACACACTAACTACACACTGACTACACACTAACTACACACTAACTACACACTAACTACACACTGACCACACACTAACTACACACTAACTACACACTAACTACACACTAACTACACACTAACTACACAAGATTTGCATTAAACGTCTCAAATCTCTCACATCTCAAACACGCCGTCACTTCTAAAACTTCCCCCGTCCTAAACCACTAAATGCAATGTTGCCATATCATTTTTGATTGGTCCACGTGGTACATTTTTCCACCAATAGGAAAGGGGGGGGTTGGTGTTGTTTTTGCTCACAGGCTTTTGAGCGTTTTCCTTATAAAACGCCGTTTTTACCGTTTCTTCCTGCAGTAAATATAAACAACAACAGTATTCAGGAAGAAAACCAAACATTGGAGATATTTTTATAATAACTCTGGTTTTACGTGGCCGATCAACACAATTTAAAAACTGGTATAAAGTCCACACTTTTCCCGACCACTTGTCCTGCTCACATCTCCAATGGTTGTACATGTTGTCAATAACGTGGCTTCACTCCACATCAGCCGCTTTGCTAAAACACCGGTGTTGGCACATAAGGACGCTGTCATAGCCTGTCAAAGACGTTGATTAGCTGCGTATATACGAATGTGAATTGCATTATTAAAATGACATACACTCTACATAAAGTTATTCTCTCTCTATCTATTATTACTTTAGTACTTCTTAAAATGATATCCAGTATAATTTGTGTCCCTTCTTTCATTACATGATTGGCATCAGGCTCTGATAGTGAAGGTGCTGCTCAGGTAAAGTCATCAAACAGACACATTCAAGAAGGAAGGCGGAGTTTTAGGTATCAACACTGTTTAATGAGGCGATCACAGCAGACCGAGGGTCAGGAGGGTCACCACCACTCACTCCTACACTGATACTTAACCAGAAATATTTAAGGTCACAAACTTACCTTCATGGTCAGATTTCTGTGGGAGTTAGTATCTGCTGATGTAGATCTGAAAGGAAAGGATTACTGTGAGGATCACCTCATTCAATCATTGAAATCTAATCTGCGTTTAACGCATTTACAGCAATGTCTGCTTAAAATATCCTGAAAGTTTCACACACTCTATTTGGCAGTAATATTAAAGCACTGCTGCTACGTTACTACAGATACCTGTGTGAAGTCACCTGCAGTTGGAGCTGAACACGCTTCAGAGACACCACACGGCTGTTCTCCCTCAGTGTGTCAG